AGAACTAGAAATGCCTAATTTGTGGCATGCAATTGAAATAAATACGTGTAAATAGCATACGCCACAGATACACAGCCAAAGGAGCAGCTGCTGTGCCACATGCCACATGCCACATGCAATTGAAATGCGGCTGCTGCATTTTCCATCTTCCCGCACACAAAAATAAGTGAACGTAATAGTATTTAGGACAATCACCCTCAACATCCATAACGATCGAGGAGTGAACAAACATACGCATGCGCAGGAGGAAACGACGAACAAAGATCTGCCATATGCGCAGAATTCAAACACGAGTCAGCAGTTAGCAGTATCTCAATCAGTCAGTCCTGCTGTTTATTGCATGTCCTGTTGAAATGATGAAAGTGGACTTGTTTTGTGCCTTAATAAGGGATCGACAGCAACAAATGGAAGAAATTCGAAATTTAATGCCAACAAGCGGCAGTCCAAAAAGGATGCACAGAGGCTATCAATGAGGATACAAACAAAAAAATTAAAATTAAATAAAATAAATGAAAATAAAATAAAATAAATGAAAATAAAATAAAATAAAATAACATAAATTAATATAAAATAAATGAAAATAAAATAATATAAATCAAAATGAACTAAAATAAAAAAAATAAATTTAAATAATATACAATAAAATAAAAGGAAATTAAAAAATAGTAAACATATTATAATATAAATTAATTATTAAATTTAATTAAATTAAAGTAATTACAAAATTAAATAAAATCAAAAAAATTTAAAAAAAATTAAAAAAAAAATTAAATAGAAATAAAATAAGAGAAATAAATAAAATTATAAAATTTTCTTAAATAAAATAAATAAACAGCAAATTATAAAAAAATAAAACACTGTAAAATAAATATTTATAAATTAAATTAAAGGTAATTAAATGATAAATGAAATTCAATAAAAGAAAGTAAAATTAAACTAAATTTCCTTTAATCAAATTACAAAATAAGAAGAAAATTATAATTGAAATGAAATTTAGTTAAAAAAAATTAAAAATAAATTAATTAATTAAAACAGAATAAAATAAAAAATAGATTAATTTAAAAAATAAAATTGAATTCAAAAATGAAAATAAAATAAATTAAATTAAAAAAAAAAAATTGTACTAAATTAAAAAAAATGTAATTATGCTTTAAATAAAAAATTAATTAATTAATAAAATGAAGTGAGTAAAAATAAATAAATTAAGATGAAAAAAATAAAAAAATTACAAAATTAATTAAATAAATAAATGAAATAAAACAATATAGAATTGAATAAGAAGAAGAAAATGTGATTTAAATAAATTGAATAAATTAAAATAAATTAAATAAAAAAAATTAATTAAACATAAAAAATTATATAAATATATCATGATATCTATTAAAAATGAGGAGTAAATAACAAAAAATAATGATAGAAAACGATGTAAAATGATCATAAATCTTCTGCAAAAACTTTCTCTCGAAGACCCTGACTCAATGGGCGACTAGTAGACTAGATGTTTCCGGATCGCTGCCATCTTCAGTCTGAAGAAAGCAGATGTAACGGCATAGGAGTTCCATGAAGGAGAGTCACCTTGTCTCGTGCCGAACGGCTGAGAGCGGTGCTTACCAATTCTGACAGAATTTTTAGTTTTAGTCAGTGCAAACTAAGAATTCAGCTGTATCGGACACAATTCATAGGGATAGCTCCTTTTCCTGCTATCGAAGGCAGCTTTAAAATCAACGATGAGGTGTTGTGTGAAGATCGTTTTCTCACGAGTTTTTGGGTTGTGTTGGGCAAAGCGCACTTAGGTTCCAATCATCAGGCATGCACTCATCCGACCAAATTTTGCAAAGAGGGTGATGCATGCGTTCAGTCACTGCATGAAGACCTCAGCTGGTAAGCCAACCGCTTGCGCCGTTTTGTGGTCCTTATGAGCCGCAATTGCTATTCGTACTCATTCGTAGTCGGGTAATGAAAAGTCTGCTCCATCATCATTGATTGATGATTCTAGTTCGGCATTTATTGGTATTTCATCCACACTGAACAGTGTATTCTAGACATTAGCTGCCAAAAATTCTTTCTCGTTGCTACAGGAAAACACGCCGATCACGAAGCCTTTCATAAGTCACCCCCACACATCCTTTTACACTAAAAATGATGTATTTTTTGTAGTTTGCGCTATTGGCTCGTGCCTTTAATTTGCTGACTCAACGCTCTACGTTCATGTTTCAGCTTCCATTACACAACCCCCACACACTCACGCACACCTCGCACATTGTTTTTCACTGTTATCTCACTATATTTTAATGTTTATAGTTGTTTTTGTGCATCAGTCTTATTTCCCTTTAGAACCCACCTACTTACATCAATACCATTCAATATTCAATGGCATTGTTTACGCCAACACTTCAGCTTGAGCGCGACTTCTGCTTGGGGTTCGCCACTAATTTTAGCTCAATTTTTCAAGTGCATGCTTGTCGTCCTTTGTCTTCAGCAGCTCATTGTTCCTTACATCATTTCCGCATCTTAAATTCTATTGCATTAACCGTAAGTAATCTATTTTTAGTTGATGTCCTTTTCCATTCCCTTGTCCTTTGACAATTCGTCTCAGACACTTCCTTTTACTTTGTTGACTATTGTGCGGGGGTAAATATGACTTTTGTTTGAAGATTGTGATCTTTGATTGTTGTAAATATTGGTTTATTGCATTATATCTAGTCTATTGGACTCCCATACAAATGGACCTTTGTCATATCTCTGTCACTTGGAAGTTTTAAAAGAAATCGGAACCGAATACTTAGGAAGAGATCTCTTCATCTTCAGTGAGAGTCAGGCTGTGGGTTTTAACCAGAGTTTGATTATGAAAAAGAACTCTAAACCCCTACAGGATTATCACCGATCTCTTAAGATGAGATTTATGAACAGTCCAGACTAACTTTCTCTCCAACCTCAGTTAGTTGAGGTTGCTACTGCTGGCCTGCTGAGATACCTTTGATGGGCCTTCAAGTCATTTGATTCGTCTCATAGAAGCAAGTTCTGCAAGGCAATCGAAATAAAAATGGCAAGGAAAACGAGAGTCTCCCTGAGAGCAGGGCATAGGTATTGGGGTGGCAGTGGTAATTGTCTGCCGACTCCTTCTCGTCCATGTTGCTGCAGCTGCGACGAATGTCGCGATTCTTGGATCCAAAAACATAGAGTGACACTGCAGGGCAGACGAACTTGCTGGGCTCAGACCGATTTTTTCGGCCAAAGAAAGTATTGGTATGCACTCGTCGCTTGTATGCTGCCACATAAGGCATTACTTTGGAGAGAGGCAACGTCAAGCTGAGAACTTAACTTTATCAAATCTGGTCGGCAGATGTTCTACGGCTTATGCTTCTTGCGAAAATAGAGCATTATAAGGGTAATTGGGCTCAGCAAGAGACGTAAGCTTATAACACGGCATGAAGATAGATAGAAGTCGTTTCCAGAAGATATTGCAGGAGCTGCAGAAATGATGGCGAGAAGCTGAAGGCAGCTCTCTATCCGTTAAGCTATTGTTCTGCACAAGCTCAAGTAGATTTGGATTACAGAATTCAATTTAACGGACAGAAGCCTTTAAGACAGGCAGGACTTTCGCGGGAATATTCTTGAACCTCTCCGCGGAGGAGAAAGCATAACTATGAGCATGGATCTTCCGGTGTTGTTTTGAGGACTTACCGAATTCCGTCGTCGATGTTGGATTAACTATTTCGAGATCCACATGTTTACGTTCCATCAGCTTTTCATGCTAGGACTGGACTTTATATGATTGAAAAAAAAAGGTTTGAAATCAAGTAGAACTAAAAGCGACTCCTGGACCGTACCCGCTGTGGTATTTTGGAATTTTCAGTGGCTACCAAACTTCTACTGGACTCATATTACCTATCCACCTCGTCTTTAATGTCCATAAAACACTTTGGAATATTTAATTTTCACTCTCCTTCATAGTGAATGTGCGCCTGCGCAGCTGTTATTTCACAAAATTTACTATTCCATGCATATGTAAGAGTGAATGTCCTGCTGGCACGCATAATAAATGAGACCATGAATGAAATAACAGAAACAACCCCGCCAACGACGTGCAACCACGTACCTACCTACTACACTCCCCCACCACCTAAATAAATTCTAAATATAGTAAGCGTGCATTGTTGAAAATTAGTTAATTTACGCAGGACTATAGCCCAAAAGAAGAAAAAAATTTGAACAAAAATACAAAAACGGAATTTTTAGTAGTATTTTCATGCTTCGGCTCGACCCCAGACGGTATCGGTGATCCAGCAATTCATGCGCACAGACTTTATGGCATGCGTAGGTGAAAGTCTGTAAAATAAATCCACATACAATATGCCAGACACAACACTTCCTGCGCCTTCTGCCCGTCAACACACTTTTATACTTGCAACATTGCCGCAGGATAATGAACTCTGAGGCGCATAATTCCTGGAAGTAGCGCACAACAAGCCACAATTGAATCCTATTTTTATTTAATTGTTTTACGTTTTTTTTTGTTGTAGTTTTTCCTTGTCTATTTTTGGTATGTCCGAACGTATCCTTGCTGATTAGCCTGCTTACTTCAAGTGTTCATGTATCCTTTTACACTTTTTGTGTTTTTTTTCAGATGGGCGTAACTGCGTTGGCGCGTGCTTATTGCCAACTGACACACACAAAAACAACAAATACGCAGGCGCGTTTGTATGTATTTAGTCAGTGTGGCAGTTGACAAAGGTAGACCGACCGGGTGACCGACTGTCGCTTACTGTGTAGTTCTGTCTGCACACCGCGCTGTTTCTTTTTTTAGCAAACTGTACTAGTGTCCTTCGGAATGACTTGTAAATATGACAATTGGCTAATGAGCAGTTCAGTTATTGCTGTTGACAGTTATTTTTTTGACAACTGTGTTATTTCTGTTAAGTTTTGTTGTAACACACACAATGATTGACAGACATTTTATGGCGCATTTTTGTAGTTTGCAAAAATCTCAAATTTCTTACCTTCTACTTTTCCTAATAGAATTCCGCCAGAGCTTAATTTCCTTTAATTTCGCTTTCCACAAAGTTTCTCCTTCATGTCGTATGTACATACATATACATTTTTAGTTAGTGTGTTTAAATGCTTAATGCTTAAAACACCATTTTAAACACATTTTGTCTGTCGCACATAATTTTCAACTAGTAAAAACAAATAATTTTTCCTTCTTGGTAGCTTAAGTGGCTTTCAAACTGTGTTTCTTTGGAGTTGTCATGGTTCAGCGTTGCACTAAAATATTTTAACCGATCAAAGGCAACCACCGAAAATGACATTCACAATGGTTTGCCATGTGTATACACGAAAATTACGTTCTTAAATCGTAATTCCTACTTTCAATTACGAAGTGAATTACTTCATCAAAGAACGTATATTAATATACGTTCTTTGGATTCATACGCCAAAATAGAATGTATAGCATATTTCGTTCGAAATGCGTGTGAATAATGATATAGCGATGCTCCCATTTTTTTAGAAAGCTATTTAACAATAGCTGGATGGAAAATGTTTGAAAAAACATATCTATGTACTCGTAACATAAATATATTTTTGAAATATAAACTGAGATTTTTTTCCCTTGTACCCTTGTACCGAATTTATTTTTCGAATTTTCGATTGTCGTAGTCCAAAATGCATATTTTGTTGAAACTTCAACATGATGAAACGGTAATAGTCGTTATTAGTTGCATGACTTTTACCAAATCTTTCATCTAGTCCACCTCAGCGCACAACATTGCTGGTCTTAGACCACCACTTAGACACAAAATTAGCGTCCGAAGGTTTAGACTTCCGCAAGTCGACCATTTGTCCAGCAGGCGTCAATTACAGGAGGAAAATTGTGCAGAGGAGTCACACCAAAAGCGGCAAAAAGATCTCTATGAGCAGGAAATCATTTAAGAAAGTAGAAAAAGATGCTATATACTAAGCAAAGAGATCAGACGGGCTTGAAGGCACAGATGCCTCTTCCTTGAACGAAGGATAGGCGACCTGAGCAAGTAAAAGACAAAGAAACTCACCTCTGAAAAAAAATACAGATAGAAGCCGGAGTCTGCTCGAGATCAGGGTCAGCAACGTGAATAACACATAAAAACCTAGCATACGAGCTAGGCTTGTTGCAAGTCAAGGATGAAGTAGTCCTTCATACTATCCACTGAAAAGTTTGAGAGAGAGAGAGCAAGGAGTTTTATTTATAAGGATGTCTAAGCAGCAGAGAGAACTTGCTGATCATTTCAAGTCTTTAAAGCACTTGATACCATTTTTTGCACAAAATTTTTTAAACTCCTTCACTCACTTTTTCGAAAATTGAAAATCGAGCACTCAACACATTTATAACTTTCATGCCTCAAACAAAAAAAATTGGAATGGCTTAGTAAATTGCACACCTGAGCTACCAAACTGTTGGCGTTGATTTCGTAGATGAGAAATTATTTACCGATTAAATATTTTTCTTCTTTTTATAATTTTTTGCAATTTCGAGTATTTTCACAACAACTTTTTAAAAACATTGTGCCATAACGGAATAAACTGTTTAATTATGGTTTTTGCTGTGGCTTTTGTAATTTGTGTATCAAATGCTTAACAACATTTATTACACTCCGTTAGCAGTTTGAAAGCCAATGTTTCATACGGAGCACTGAAATTTCTTTAAACATCAGCGTTGCATTTAAATTTCATTTGACCAAACCAAAACACTAGACTCTATTCAATTGGAGCCAACGCATAAAGATACCAACAAAAGGGAATCCAGAAGAATTGAACTTGTCGTCTGTCATCGTTGTCATCGTCGGGTGTGTGTAAACGCGGTCTGCGTCCATCGCCTTTTTTTCAGCACAAGATATTCTCTAGCAAAAATTCAATGCTCGCATTTTTCACCAATTAAATTAGTAATTTTATTCGTTAAACGTGTATTTTGTGTAATATAAATTGTGTATATGTAAACAAAAATAGTGCTAGAATTGATGTAATTACAAGAGACGCACAGACATAGCAAAAAGTGGTAATGTGAAGTACATATGTACATACATAAATGTAGGAAAGGAAAAGGTAGCGCAGAAGTTGAAAGGAAGAAATAAAAGGAGACACAAAAGAGAAATAAAAGATATTCCTTTGTGTCGCTGCTTGGAATGCGGTGTATCTTTTTCATATGCATGTGTGTGTGTGTGTGTGTGTGGCGAAAAATCAGGAATTATGACCTGAAATGCAACAAAATGAAATATAAAAAAAAAAACAAGTGAACTATCAGCTTATTTGGTCAACACGAAATAAAAACCAAAGTGAGAGAAACAAGAAATTATGTTTCAAGAAATTTGTTATGCTCATAAAAGGCAACAGTGTGCCGCTTACCAAAAATTATTTAATTTCAAATATACATATGTATGTATATATATATTTTTTTGCTTATTTTTAACGCCCACACGCAGGGCAGCTGAGAAGTACAAATTTTGAAAAAATTCCATGTTGTTTAGAGCGTTCGGCAAGAGTAATTTAGACAGCGTACTTTTTGGTGCTGCTTCGTCGTCGTCGGTGTTGTGACTAGTCTCGTCTGTAACCACTGCTGTTGTTTTTGTTTTGCAGGATATTGAACTTACAAATGTATGTATGCATGTAGCGTTTGCCCTTTGTCGGCGTAATGTGTCCACCTAAACACCCACACAGACAAAACCGGGCCTTGTGGCGGCGATTTATGAAATGTCGAGCATTTGAGTTATAACTTTGATTCGGAGAGGTTGGTCTCCTCATCCATGCATGTAACCTGTTTACAAGTTGAACTTTGTTCTCTGCGAGCGGCATTGACCCTACTACTACATTACGGCAATTTAAATAAAAAAATTCCAAAATCTATTTTTAATAAATTTGCCTAGTTTTCAATCAATTTAATTGCTTTAAATCAACTCGAACATCAAGTCAATCAAGCGGACAATTAATTTGCCTCTATCCCACTATTCTACTTCACATGTAAATATATGTACATATATACAAATGTACATATGCAGGTATATAAACGTAAATACATATGCATGTACATATGTGAGCATGCATGCATGCATGTTTGTAAGTCTTTGCTAAATTCGCCTCAAGTAACTGTATGCCCGTGGGGCCAGCATGCGAAGATGTCATAGATATCGGCGTTAAATTTATACAACAACAAAAATACATTTAAAATAATAATAGATAGCAAGAAGCAGCAACCAAAAAAAAACACATCATATAAAATATGTAATCCAAAAATATATATAATATATTTTTATACAAATATATATGTATCTACTTATGCACATATTTAAATACGTTTATGCGCTCATATGAAATACCAAAAACAAAAAAGCATCACACAATAAATGCATGACGAAATGGTGATATGAAGGAAGGTGGAGAAAAATGTTCACAACGAATTGAAATCTAAATAAAACAACAAAAACAAGTAGAAAGAAAATCAGTAAAAGCAATAGGCAATAGCACAAAAACAACAATAAAAAGCGTATAACAATAGCCAGATAGCGCATGGGTCAACGCATAGTTTTCAACAGCACGAGGGGTATACAAATGTACATATGTATTGATGTATGTGTATAGAATTTCGTTCGAGAACAAAACCTGCCAGCGTTGCGCTGCGCAGCGCAGCCCAACAGAGCACGTTGGCTGGCAACACGGTGCCAACGAACAGCCAGCGCATATTACGTATATATGTACATACATATATGATTGTTTGTATGTGCATACGTGCATATTTCTTATTTGCAGACATTTGTACATATGTTCATACATACAGCGCTACAATAATAACAATTTGCCGAAATATGCCGATTCGAATGACGTTGACAGCGCAGTAGCAGCGCGCAAGCTTCTTTCACTGAGGACTGTAATAAACAACCATAATAATGTTGCTAGAGAGGGGTTGCCAGATGGTTTAAATACGTGTTTTGTTATGTCTACTTCGTGGTGTTGGATTTTTGAAAATATTTTTCATCTCTTTGAGAAGGTTAGACTCTCAAAATAATTGCCAATAACTTCAAGCAAAAAATATTGTTCGAAAACTCAAAAGATAAGAAAGAATAATTTAAGTAAAAGTATTAGATCGAAGCGTACCTTCACGAGGACCTCTTCAGAAGTTATAGAGATGAGGGAGGGCACTACATTTACAAATGCTTCACCCTTTGGAAAAGATGGTTTCTTGGGAGACCTACCAGTAGAAATTTAAGAAATGGCAGCAGCAAAGACACTACGATGACTCAAATTTATCGATTCCAGATAGTCGGTCGTATCAAAATAAGCAAATTCGGTGGTCTTACCTCACATAAGTTGTCAAATAGAAGACAATTGCCCAACAATGAGAAGTGACAGAGATGCGTTAAATGCCACACAAAGAGAGTTCCTTCAACACCTTTCTAATTTCCCTTTCCAGTAGTGATCCTATTGGATTCTAATAATTATTTAAAGCAGACGAAAAGTTCGACCTAATGCCGCCGGTGGAATCAGCATGCAGCAAGCACCTGCTGGAAGCGGAAACAACCCCAGGCTCAATCTCAACAACACCTTTAACAGGCAAAAAGCTGAAGGTTCCTCGTGAGTTAAGTTCTGGATACTGTAGCACACTCAACACTTAATTATGCAGACTGTGATCCGGCATATCCAACGTATATCCTCCAAGCGAAAAATTTCCCATTACAATAACCAGCTCTTGTATACTTGCTAATTGGAGCTACGTTACCGCTTCAACACATCTCGAGCTGTTACTAGGAACCAAGTAATCCTGGAACAATCAAGATCTATATATTGTAGTCAACTGAACTCGTTTTATCCAACCCTATTCTATTTAGTTTCATCAAATCGAAATAGATCCTTTCACGGCCTTCCATTTGATGGCATGCTCCTAACAGCGAAGGGGAAAGAGAAACTGAACTCAGGTTCAGTCGATTCTTCATTCGACTACCCATTCTTGTGTAATCTTTGGTAGAGCCCTGATTTATATATGTACATAGTTGGAAAGATCTGCAGTTTACTATTCCATTGGATCTGATTTGTGGCGGGTGGCGGATGGCGGGTCTTGAATCCAGAAAACACCTAACCGGCGCCCGCTCACGGTGGCACCTCTAGTGAACAGATACTGCAAAAAGACTCTAGTAACGAATATGTCACAATAGCTCCACCTTCCCATCTTTTAGTCGTAATACATGTCACATGGGTTGGTTGCCGTGTTGCTCGCATTGTCAAGGTGCTCGACGAGGACTCCATAGTGGGAAATGAGAAATGCATCTCACTCCACTTGACACCCAACGTTGAAGAAAATAAACGAAACGCCGGCCTCAACTCGTTTATTATAGCGTAAGCGGAACAGATCCACAGTTTTAAACCCCGCCCGAACTTCACAGACGGAATTTTATGAGAAGCTTATTATTTCATAGATGGAATAGAATCGGAGGATTCGAATATCATGTCAAGTTACGAATTCCCCTGAAAAGTTTGGAAGTAGGTCTGACTAGCACTCGGTGACTGTCCGTATAGTAGTCGTCAGCGGACCTCCCTTTAGTGAAACCCCAATCGAGCAGGTTTTTTAACCACCATTTCACAAAACCTTCATTTATCTGGCAATGTCGCCACCTTTGTGGCGAAAGAGTTGATTGAGCTAGCTTAACGCCACATTGACATAGGCATGTTGCTAGCGGGCGCGCTCTGCACCCATACGTCGCTTCGCGTTTGCTAGGTGTGTGTGCAGGTGTACGTGCGTATGTGGATGAGCAGCATTGGAGCAGCGCGCTGCCGTTGGCTTTTGTGCTGATTTTGTTAGCGATTCTCAGCTTGTTAGTAGGTACATAGATAGCTTCATTCTTCGAAGCGATGTCGTGCGGGCGCTACATAAAAATGTTGAAATATTCTTGGCACTAACGCGCACACATACACACATATGTACATGCATACATGCAAATTTCGTACAAATACTTCTATTCAATGGTGTCGTCGTCATCTGCGTTTAATCTAAAATAGCACAAAAACGTCAGAAAAAAGTCCAAATGAAAGTCGTAAAGTAAATATTCAAACGCTGATACATACATAGAAAATTTCAAAAAAAAAAATAAAAAAAATATTAAAAATACATTGTTGGCGTGTGCAGAACGCGTAAAAGAACAAGTGTTTGCCAAATTAAATACATATACATATACATATATGTATATACATATATACTGAAATGAAAAAGTGAATTTTTTTTACAATTAGCAGACAACAAGTGCGGATATTCTGTGAAATAATAAAAGCTTAAAATTTTTTTTTGTGCATTTTTAAGTGAAATTCCACAGCGGCGACATAAAACTAAAAAAAAAAAAACAAAAAAAAACATTTTTAATTGCAAAAATAAATTTTTACATAAAAAATTGTACACTTGTGCGCTTTTCTCTTATATTTTCAGCGTCTCTTAACTCTAATCAAACAGAAAAAAGCCAAATTTTTAATAAAAAAAAAATCTCAATTATATTTATTAGAAAAAACAACGAAGTCTGAATTAAAAAAGTTATAAACTCAAATAAATTACACGTAAATGAGCGCACTTAATATAAGAATAATCTAGATGAAGTCATTGTGAATTGCCAATAAACATTAATAATTGTGAATTTTATTTTAAGCACAAATTAATTAAAAAAAACAACAATCGCTTTTAGTTGGGGAAAAATATAAATAGAAATAAATCGCCATACAGGGATAGCAACAACAAGTAAAACAGCATATTTCATAACGCTAATAAATAAATAAATACGAATAAAAAATAAGCAAAAACAAACAAAAACAAAAAAAATGGAAGCAATTGCCAAACACGACTTCGCAGCAACTGCCGATGACGAATTGAGTTTTCGCAAAAGCCAAATTTTAAAGGTGAGTACCTACCTATAGAAACAGTCAATCGAAGCTTTGATAAATATATATATATATATATATATATGTTCTTTTACACAAAATGATAATAATAATACACAACAAAAAGTGTATAAGATTCCATAGCGAAGAAATGTATGTCAATGGGTGGCGAGTGCTTGCACGGCGAGGCGAGGCCACAAGTGCTTGAGGTCAGTCAGCTGGGCGTGTTGTAAACAACAATATCATTTAACAGCTGATAACAGCTTTATTTCTTATTTTAATTGTTACACTTGCTCATATACATACATATAAATCCTTTTTGTTTTGCTTCACATTACACAGATGCAACACGGCACCACTACCACCACGGAGAATTAATATAAATATTTTTTTTTATTTTTTCAGTTGCTGATTTATTGCACACTTTATTAAAATTTCTTTTTATTATGTGTTTGGCATTATAATCGCATTTGATAGAAAGTGTGGCAGGCAAATTGTAATTAACTTAATACATCGCGCCATTCAAATGGTTGGCAACGCTATTTGCTCTATCTCTGTTGGCAGCTGATAATTTATTTATTATCAGAAAAAATTTGCCAGTGAAGTGAGACACTAAATTTTAATTGCAACAAATAAATACTTTTTTAAAAATAACAATAATAAAAAAGTGGGAGTAAAATACGATTAAGCAACTAAAATATGGCGTTGATTTGTTATACTGGGGCTACTGTGGGAGCTAGCTTTCAGGACGCTCTTAAAATTTGCAAAACGCGTAGACCTCACGTATGACGGCTTGTAAGCCACGATATAGATTGAACAGAACCTCCATTTGTCACTCTAAAGCGCCAACAGCGCTTGCGTTGCAGTCAGTCCGTGTAACATAACCTATCCTAATACGCCGAGAAGGTCTGCCGACGCGTTGATGGTTTTTACCTTTCTTGCTGTTATAAAATCAATTTCCATCAAGTTAATTTACAAAAAATCCATTAAAATTCCACATTAACCTGACCATAACTGACATTTTTGTCGATCGGCTGTATTTGAATTAAACTTTCGACTAAACATTGGTTTCACGACAAGTTTTGATTTCTTTTCGTTCAAAAATCGAGAGAAAAACAAATGATTCTTTGTGAAAACTTTGGACTATTGGATTTTTGGTTTTTACAATTTTCTTGGATGTTATTGATGTAACAGCTCATTGACGCTATTCAGAATAAGGCAACCTTGTATATGTATCGGAATCATTAAGGGTACCCAAGAAACGACTCGCTTCAAAGTATCCCGGCCAAAGTAAGGGGAGTGTTAAATCAGTTTGTTTAATTGAAAATGAAAAGATATGCTTAGTGACGCATCATATAAGAACTTATGATATGCTGGATAGAAATGCGTCGAAAGTTGAGTCTGGAGCGAGTACGACATTAATGGGAAGAAAGTTTATTAACCGGTTGGCAGACTCTCACGGAATGGCGTTAAAAGAATATCGATACGCCGTCAAGTCTTGGTGCGGAGCATAATTTATGATCGCCTTGTCGAAAACCCTGTATATTGCTATTAAGTACGTTTACCAGCCACTTAGATGCCCCGGACCATAGAAAGATTACACTACAAATACTCTGTGACAATAGAAAATACAAATTGAATGTAATAGAGGTCTTGACAGACCAATGTTTTAAAGGATGTAGATCCACAGAGCATTTATGCTAGAAGAATGTGCGTGGAAGGGATTTTCTTCGCTGGGCTAATCTGTCTAGTGAGGTTAAAGTTGGCTAATTTTTGGGGCCTTGAAGTGTATGGAAAGTGAAGAATAAAGTTCAAAATTGCATCGGATCACCACAATGGAGCTTCAGCTGCTCACACTTTTCGATGTTCTCACAAAGGTAGGCTCCGGAATGCTTCGGAAGGTATTCAGACAGGGCTAAAGCTTCCTGACCTCCGGAAAAAAATCGTGTAGTCTTTTTTCAGGCACATGCGTCAGTAATATTCGTCCCGCAACACAGCTATGAAATTGAAATTCTAATGTTGCTGTATCTCACTCGTCTACGCTGGTGACTAATCCGGCTGAAATGCGGAAAATTATGCGCATTTTTTTATATTTTTTATATATATATATATTTTTTTTGTTTTTTTTTTTTTAATTTCTTTTCACCAAAGGTAACCAAACACAGGCAGCCGCGAGAGAAGCTAGGCAGCCAGCCACGAGTAATTAAATCACGCATTTTAATTTAAATAAAATTTAGTTCAACAACAGCTGCGTACAGCTTGATATATTTATGTACATATGTATGTATGTATGTATGTGTATATGTATGTATGTACATACACATAAACACGCTATGAATATTCCAGAATTGTTAAGCGTTCAGCGTGCAGCGTGTATTATCAGTAAGCCACGGCGACCACCTGCTGTGCGGGGCGCGGAGGGGGCGAGGCGAGCATAACTCTGCAGATAGATTTATTTATTCACCCTCTTGTTTTTGTTTCTGTTTTTGTTTTTTGCAATCTAAATAGATATATTTCTTTTTGCTTTTGTTGTATCTATTGTCTGCTAGTCGAGCAATATGTATATGATTGTCGTACATTTGCATGTATGTATATTTGTTTGTATGTTTATTTGCTTGTAAATCTCCATAGCGGTATTCATTGCATGACTCAGTTATGAATAACTTTACATTTTCACAATCATATGTTATCGTTAAGCTTCTAAGAAGTGAATGCAATGCAAGCCAAGTCCCAACTGAGCACTACACAGACACACATACACACACACACACACACACACAGAGAGAGAAAGAGACACATGCATATGGACGTGCATAAGCTTTATCTGCGCTATACAAATACTTAGAGACAGCCATTTATTCATATGCAAAATCTGCATAACAACAATACCAACAACAACAACACCAACAACACAGCATACACAACAACGAGTTCAACGTCATTACCTGTGATCTTCTCCCCAGCCTCTCTAGTCTCCCGGCCTCTGGTATACACTAGTCAAGTGAAATTTTGCCAGCTCGTTAAGGTGAAAAGTAAATACCTGTGGGGTTCAAGAGATTTTCTATGCACGAAAATGGCAAGAAAAGAAAGCAAAGAAATGCAAATGGTGAAAAGACTCTTTCAAAAGCAAGCATTTTCTGCTTTAAGCTCAATAAAAAAAGGGGGGGGGGGGGGGAAAGAAAAATTATTTTCGTTTTTGTGGGAAAGCTTAGCTCTTGAGGGTTTGTTTTTTGCGTCGTTTTTACTACCAATTTTCTACTTCATCAGCGTAATTCAATTCGAGAAGTTGTCGTCAACGAGTTGCCGCCACCACTCAGCTTAACTTTGCGGCATTTTTGTGTTTGCCAGAACTTTGTCCGCCGAAGTGGTTGGGGGGTAATGCTTCTTCACACACACACACACGGCATTAGAATTCTATTTCCACAAACACACCGCCTCTGATTCCACCTATCCACCACTCAGAGTCTGTATCCACATGAACACCATCAAGCTTCTCTTCACACCCACTCACTCGCTCCCACCTGTCTTTCTACCTGTGGTTATTGAGCAGTTGACATTCTTATTGGGGTTCGCTGAAAATTTTAAGGACACTGTTGCTTATTCGCTCAATGAAAATTAATATCAACGCCCACCCGGCGTAATATTAATCACCAGCACAGGTAGATCTCAAGCTCAACCACACCTGACGGTTACTTATGACGTATTTGAAAATACATTTTTATATTTTTGGTAATTTTGCTTAAACGCTTGAGGCCAAGCTTGAAATATCCATTTTTACGCTTGACTAAAAAGGCAGAAGATTTATTTATATTTTCCCCTTCTTGCGGAAAATATGAATTTTAATGTAATTGCAATTCGATGGCGTCTTATTTTGCCTTCTTGTTGGTATGTGCATTAATTCCCATTAGAACGGGCGCTTAAATCTTGGAATGGAGAGTCGCTTTGCCTACCTTCCACTGTCTACCAGCCACCACCATGGTTGCCATGGTCACCGCACATGTTGGGTTACTAGGCCAGCGCCCGCTGTGTTGGTTCAAGGCTCACAAGTCAGTAAACAGACCGCATTTTGACAGAAGAGATGAACCCTTTCTTTTTAGTTCTGAAATAAGTCGACGCTACGGACAGGAATAACAAGCATTCCTTTACAATATTAGAGTTGTTCAGTACGAGTGACTCCAAGGCCATAATATCCGAGTATATGCTGGCCAGTCTCTTAGAAACCATCTACCAAACAAGTACATCCACCGTTTCTTTGATAGCAACCACCTCCTCTTGAAAAACGCTGCAAAGAATTGGAAGCCTCTTCCACGACAATGTCATATTCTGTGCAGAAAATTTCCATCCCAAACTTAGTGCAGTGACGCCTGCTTGGCACACTCATTTTCAACAATCATTTCGTCTAACAGGAAAATTTCCCTCAGTCCTTCGGAGTTCTGAAAGAGGGGTAGAGCTTAAAACTTCGATATTAAAACTATATAAGCCGGCAGCCAATAATGTATGTATAGTTCCTGGTTCCGAGATCCCATTACTGTTAAACCAAGTCTCTCCATGCGTGTAGCTTTGCGCTTATATCGTTTGATTCAGCTCTCTCAAACGATTGGATGAAGACTTCAAACGGATTCAGTGGCAGATCATTGCTCGCAACACCTTCCTTCATTGAAAACTTAAAACCGACTCGGCGACTGATGCACCTTCATCAGTTCGCGCAGCACCTGAAAGAACACCGTCAACATCCCTTACACTGTTTTTGTCCAACTTAACGCTGTCAACCCATAATGCTCTCCTACCCAGCTGAAGGCTGAATGTCTTTTGACAGATGCAGATACGTGTCCGTGGAGGAAGAGGCAAATCTTTCAAAGAAATCACCACTAGCTTAGCTTTCATCAAGTCCTCGCCTATTGGGAAAATTATCTTTCTTTTTTTTATAGAGCCTCGCCAACTGCTCGTTGTTACGAACTTACCAGCGAACCCTGATGCCAACGGCACCCTCGCAACTTCGAAATGCCTTAAGATAGTCG